ACCCTCCTGGGTGTTTTTCTATCTCAAAATGACAAACCAAAAGGAGTCAGAACCATTGGCTTCAGTTTAGATGCTTTAATAGCAAGTCTGATTAGCCCCCCAGGTAGTCGACCCCGTGACTGGTTGAGGCTGAAGAGGTAGTGGACTCTCCAGCCTCGGAGACCCAGGTATCATCAGTCCTCGTCGGTTTCTGGTGTCTCATCGTCCACAGATTTGTTGTTCTCTTCGAAGAGTTGGTGGAGCTGCTCGTTGTTCTGTACCACTTGATAGACGTGCTCTGGGCTGATGCGCTTCTTGCCGCTCACGTGGGCTTCTTCGCCAGCCAACTCAAGGATGTTAGATGTCAGGTACTCGAGTACACCAGCTAGAAACACGGGTGTAGATGAGCTCAGGCGCCGGGAGTAGTTCCCCTCTCGCAGGAAGCGGTCTACCCGGCTAACAGGAAATTGAAGTTTGGCTCTTGTGGAACGGGAAACGTTCCGTCTTCGCCTTTTCCCGGCCATGGTGCTTGTTCGATGGGATTGGTTCAGCTCCACCTGTCTTCTGGCCTTAGGTCTCTCAAAATAACCAAACCTCTTAACCGCCCCTGTATTTATCTCTGCTCAGCACAAAGGGTCTTTGTTACAACATAGACTTTATGATCTCACTAGTGTCCACTGAGCTCTGAGGTTCAGTGCAGAAATATGCCCATATTAGGAAATTTCTCACCTTTTCATGTGTGTTGTGTATACATGTGCGCATGTTGGGCGTGTGTGTGTGTGTGTGTGTGTGTGTGTGTGTGTGTGTGTGTGTGTACTGAAGTTGATATCTGGAATCATCCGTGTTCACTCTTCTATCTTATTTACTGAGACAAGATCTCTCAATCCAAGCGAGAGCTCACCAATACAGAGAGTCTTACTAGCCACCTTGCTTGAGAGATCCTGCCTTAGCCTTTCATAGCTGGAATTACAGGCAAGCCTGTAAGCCGACCTGGTTACATTCCCTTTTTATGGGAACTCTACTTGGTGTTAATGTTCTGAAAAGATCTGTGTCAGTGGAAAACTTCTGCCCATGGGATGCAACTCCAGGTTATGTATCAGACCCTAGTTTTGCCTCAATTTACATAGTCACCTCAATGTTCCTAATGAGTATTCCTGTTTCTATTTTTTACTCTTCTTTGAACTGCTCGTCACATTTGCCACTCCATTTAACATCTGCCAGATATTTGCATGTTAAGTATTTATTTATTTATTTATTTGGTTTTTCGAGACAGGGTTTCTCTGTGTAGCTTTGCGCCTTTCCTGGAACTCACTTGGTACTCACTTGGAACTCACTGGAACTCGGCCTCCCGAGTGCTGGGATTAAAGGCGCGCGCCACTGCCGCCCCGCTCCCCGACCCCCCCCCACACACACGGTTTCTCTGTTAGCTTTGCGCCTTTCCTGGAACTCACTTGGTAGGCCAGGCTGGCCTCGAATTCACAGAGATCCGCCTGGCTCTGCCTCCCGAGTGCTGGGATTAAAGGAGTGCCCTGCCGCCGCCACTACCGCCGCCGCCGCCGCCGCCGCCGCCGCCGCTGCGCGGCCACCACCACCCAGCTCATCATGTTAAATATTTAACAGGTGTTCATATCTCTTTGAGGATTTTGATTTTTACCTTTTTAGATAATCTTACTACCCATTTTGGAGCACATCCACACATAAACTTAACTGATTCACTTTATACTAGACACTACAGCCATTTCAAGTTCAATGACAGAAATGTACTCCCATGCCTTTCTGCACTTCATGCGAATCCTATACATCAACAGAACATTTTTTTAAATTTATTTTTACCACATATTAATTGTATAAATTAATGGGTTTTGTTTTGATATTTCCATTCATACGCATAAATTTTTATATTTATTTATTGGAGCGCATGAATGCTATGACATGTGGGAGTCGGGGAACAACTTGCAGGAGTTGGTTCTCTCTTTCCACCGTGTGGAGGTCACTGGATGTAGAGACAAGTGCTCTTAACAATCAAGTC